CTGCAAAAGACCTGCCTGCAGTTAAATTTCCATATAGCATCAAATTTCTGCAGACACCATATGGGCATCGCCATTTAGGTACTTGGACCCAGACCACTCTCTCCCTCTTTTCTTTAAAGTGCCAGCCTTTCATGTAACTCCAGATCTGCATATTTAGCCCACTAAATGGATGAGAATCTGGAATCATTTGGTGCCTTACTAACTCATCTTTACATGTACCTACAGTCATGCAGACACCTTTCCTTTATACAGGAGTCTTCCAACTTTTATAACTACTTGAAATAAAACCGTTCCTTCAATAACTTTTTTGAAATATCAGCCTTTGAAGTGGACCCAAAATTCCATCCACGTAATGCAATAGATAGGAATCTGGAATCATTTGGTCCCTCAATAACTCACGGATACTTGCGTCTAGAATTGTGGATACACTTGTATGTGATGCAGCAGTTGTCAAGCTTCTACTGGTACTTTGAATCAACCCGTTCCGTCAGTCAGTTTTAGAAATATTAGCCTTTGAAGAGCACCGAAAATTTCATCCATATAATGCAATACATTCCAATCTGGAATGACTTTGCCCCTTAATAACTCATCATTAATTGTGCCTGGAGTGATGCAGCCACCTGTGTGTGATAAGGCACTCTAATAGCTCCCGCTGGTACTTAGAATCATTTTTCTATCTCCATCTGTCTTTAAAATATAGCCCTTCAAACTGATTCCAGATTTGAATCTATGGTCCACTAAATACTTGAGAATCTGGAATCATTTGGCCCCTTAATAACTCATCATTATTTGAGACTAGAGTGATGCAGCCACCTGTATGTGGTAAAGCACTCTAATAGCTCCCACCGGTACATGGAATGAGGTTTCTCTCTCTTTCCGTCTTTGCAATATTGGCCTTCAAAGTCATTCCAGATTTGCATTTATGCGCAATCAATAGATGAGAATCTGGAATGATTTCTTCCCTTAATAACTCATCATTAATTGTGACTAGAGCGATGCAGCCACCTGTATGTGGTAAGGCACTCTTAAACCTCCCACTGGTACATGGAATGAGGTTTCTCTCTCTTTCTGTCTTTGCAGAATTGGCCTTCAAAGTCATTCCAGATTTGCATCTATGGTGCACTCAAAAGATGAGAATCTGGAATGATTTGGTCCCTTAATAACTCCTTGATGCTTGTACCTACAGTGATGCAAACACCTGTCCTTGATACCAGAGTCTTCCACCTTTTATTGACACTTGAAATCAACCCGTTCCTTCAACCAGTTGTTGAAATATCAGCCTCTGAAGTGAACCCAAAATGGCATCCATATAATGCAAAAGATGAGAATCTGGAATCATTTTGTGCCTCAATAACTCATTGACACTTTTACCTAGAATGATGCAGACACCTGTATGTGAAACAGCAGTCTTCAAGCTTTAAGCGGTACTTGAAATCAACCCGTTCTTTCAATTAGTTCTTGATATATCAGCTTTTGAATTGCACCCAAAATGTCATCCATATAATGCAAAACAGGAGAATCTGAAATCATTTGGTCCCGCAATAACTCATTGATTCTTGTAGCTGGAATGATGCAGCAACCTGAATGTGATCCAGCAGGCTTCAAGCTTTTATTGGCAATTGAAATGAACTCCTTCCTTCAACCAGTTATTGACATATCAGCTTTTGAAGTGCACCCAAAGTGTAGTCGATCCTTTGGACTTGAGAATATAGAATGTTTTGGTTTCTTTATTAGCTCATCATCACTTGTGCTACTTGAAACACAGGCAAAGGTCACAAATCCCATTTTCACATCCTGTTCATGAATACATGGACCGGAAGAAATTAACCCACAGTACTGGTGCAAGGCAACTCCAAATGGGCAGAGACGTGACCATACCTTTTGGTTGTGACCATGCATACATCCCGCATAGGTAAATACGGTGCCACAATAAATCTTCTCAGTATGAAAGTTTGTAATGATTGACAGTTAGCCACACAGACCCAGGTAAGAACAAATGGCATTAATCGTTGCCCTGATTTCTGCAGACACCATATGGGCATCGCCATTTAGGTACTTGGACCCAGACCACTCTCTCCCTCTTTCTTTAAAGTGCCAGCCTTTCATGTAACTCCAGATCTGCATATTTAGCCCACTAAATGGATGAGAATCTGGAATCATTTGGTGCCTTACTAACTCATCATTACATGTACCTACAGTCATGCAGACACCTGTCCTTTATACAGGAGTCTTCCAACTTTTATAACTACTTGAAATAAAACCGTTCCTTCAATAACTTTTTTGAAATATCAGCCTTTGAAGTGGACCCAAAATTCCATCCACGTAATGCAATAGATAGGAATCTGGAATCATTTGGTCCCTCAATAACTCACGGATACTTGCGTCTAGAATTGTGGATACACTTGTATGTGATGCAGCAGTTGTCAAGCTTCTACTGGTACTTTGAATCAACCCGTTCCGTCAGTCAGTTTTAGAAATATTAGCCTTTGAAGAGCACCGAAAATTTCATCCATATAATGCAATACA